AATGCTTTTTCTGTTCCTGTAAATGCTGCTGTTACTGCTGCTTCTGTTACTGCTGCTGCTGTTACTGCTGCTGCGTGGTGGGTCTGCAGACACATGAAGGTACCATGGAGTCTCCTCCTCCTCAGTCTCCCAGTCTGGGTCGTGCCAGGTCTCGTCAGTCTCTGCCCCGACAGGAAGTTGTTAGCTGGTTGATAGAAAGCAGACTGAGGTCATTAGACGTGAACACCTGCACGGAGGAGTTACACTGCACACACACACACACACGCACACACACACACAGGTTTGATCTTCACCTGAAACGCTCCCTCCTTCTCTTTGCTCTGTTTTTTTTTCCTGTTCACGGAAGAAGAGAAATGAAAGGGAGGAGGAGGAAGAGGAGGAGGAGGAGGAGATATCTGCAGCTGAGATCATTTGTGTGTGTCTGGGTGTGTGTGTGGGAAGGCTGTGGGTCAGGCTGAAGTTCATGTGTGTTTGTTCACACAGCTGCTGGATGAGAACGTTGGTTTGCTGCTAACACTAGATGATGCTAACGTTAGCGTCTCTGTTAACTTTGTCAACAAACAATAAAAAACTTGACTTTCATCCAGTGGATGTTTGGCTAACTGTTAGCTGTTAGCTAAAACACATTTATATCATACACAATGCTAGGTTTGGGCTAACAACTATAGCATTACTGTACTGTACTGTACTGCACTGTACTGTACTGTACTGTACTGTACTGTCCTGCACTGTACTGTACTGTACTGTACTGTACTGTCCTGCACTGTACTGTACTGTACTGTACTGTACTGTCCTGTACTGCACTGTACTGTACTCTACTGCACTGTCCTGTCCTGTCCTTGTTCTGCTGGTCAGTTAATGACTAGTTAATGACCAGTTAATCACTCGGTTCCTGTTCCTGTCCTAGTTACCGCAGGATGACCCGCTCCAACAGCGTGACCACGGCCGTGCAGGCCGACCTCGATGACCCCGCAGACGCCCCGCAGCTTCAGCCGCGACACTGTGCCACGATGCCGCGCCAGCACTCCCGTGATGCTGCTGCGTCCACCGTCAGCATCCAGGGCTCGGGGAACCACTACCACGCCTGCGCGGCCGAGGACTACGCCCAGGTGGGCTTCGATCCTTCCATACTGCCCCCCCCCGACCCCTGGATGGACAGCATCACGGAGCCGGAGGCGGACGTTCTGGACATGGTCGGTCGCTCCGTTTGTCCCCGCGACGGACGCTGGTTCCTCAAGCTGCTGCGGGCCGAGACGGAGCGCATGGAGGGCTGGTGCCGACAGATGAAGCAGGACCAGGTGGAGAACCAGCTGTCGGACGAGAGTGAGTGGAAACACAGGATGTTGTTAATGTTGAGGTGTGACCAGGTGACCAGGAGCTCCACGCTGTGATGTCACCGTCACTCTTCAGTCTGTCTGTCTTAGCCTCCCCCTGATAGGCCAGTAGTACAGATGTTTGAGGAGGTGAAGATGAGGAGGTGAAGATGAGGAGGTGAAGACGGGGGTCAGGGTTAGTTCAGTTGGTTCACTCCATATGGTTCTGTTCTGACCAAAGGCTAAAACCACATAACAGTTAACTAATTAATCAAGAGTTCAGTCTGACACCACTGTAGTCACTGACAGTTGAGATCAGACTGAGGCTGGAGTCAGGTGATGCTGCTGCTGCTGCTGATGCTGAGGCTGCTGCTGCTGCTGATGCTGAGGCAGCTGATGCTGAGGCTGCTGCTGCTGCTGATGCTGAGGCAGCTGATGCTGAGGCTGCTGCTGCTGCTGATGCTGAGGCTGCTGCTGCTGCTGATGCTGAGGCTGTCACTGCTGCTGCTGCGGCTGCTGCTGCTGCTGATGCTGAGGCTGCTGATGCTGAGGCTGCTGCTGCTGAGGCTGTCACTGCTGCTGCTGCGGCTGCTGCTGCTGCTGCTGGAGGACCGGGAGAATATGATGCAGACGACTGAATTATTGATGAGGTCACATCTGCACGTGTGCTGCAGGTGTGTGTGTGTGTGTGTGTGTGGACACACTGGTCTCACCACGTCCTGCCCTGTGACATCACTAATGCACCAGTGGCGGTGCAACATGTCTGCAGTCTGCTGTTCTGTGAGTAATTGCATTGTGAATTCTGTGTGTGTGATCATGTGTGTGTGTGTGTGTGTGTGTGTGTGTGTGTGTGTGTCTCTGCAGTCCTTGGAAAGATCTGCAGTGCAGTGGGGAGTGCCCAGCTGCTGATGTCCCAGAAGTTCCAACAGTTCCGGGAGCTGTGTGAGGAGAATCTGGTATGTGTCACCCCATCCTCTGCATGCCCCCCCACACCCCCGTCCCCCCCCCG